TTTTGTAGTTTATTGCACTTTTTTTGCAATTTATGTAATTACTATGCACTTAATGCAGACATATTATTAAAATTTGGGCTATAATGGTTGTATTGATGTATAGCAACATGAAATGCTCCCAAAAATGGCTCCACAGCATGTAAAAATATAATATAAGCTCTGGTGAACTTGGTTCTATGGTAGGTCTTAAAGGGTTAATGTAAGTGTATGAACAAAATGTCTTATATCTAAACTGTGACACATGTTAGGGCATGAACCTGTCCAAATATGTGTCATGAGGGCGGTGCTGGGATAACACTTCGATTACTCAATGCAAAAACCTGCACGCTGTAGCTTTAAATCCTGAGCCATGTGCATGATAGACAGCTGTTGTTGCCATCAAATCACTCTGAAATTAGCAACAGGATAGCATTTCCACACAGCGGTTGCTTAAAATGGATTTGTGTGCGAATGAGATTTGGCATTCAACTCATGACTTATAGAACAACTAAATTGTTCCTATGCGTTCAAGAAAGGTGAGATTTACAGACTAGAAATGGCTGTTAAACAGACAAAATCTCCGCAGAAAGTGAGGGTATAAAAACAACCGTGCACTCAAACGCACACATAAACACACACTGTTTAAAGTAGCTCTCGTTATCAACTGAACTGTGACCCTGGCTGGGAGAGTAAATGGCTCTTCCAGCCTAAATCTCAGCCTAGAGCTAAAAGCGCAGACGGAAACACACACCCGCGCTGGAAATCAGGTCACATACAGTGACAAGTGCACTGACCAAGAAAACACTCAATCACTTCTACTTCACTTGTTATTAAAATATTTTCCAGCAATCCTCATACCAAGCTTCTCATTTAACTTAAAAAAAGAAGAAAAAAGCTAAGATTACAGCATTTGATTGGAATTATAATGAGGCAATACTTACATTTAAAGTTAGATGCGTGGCTCTGGGTGCTTTCTGCGTTCTAATTCGCCCGATTTACCAGGTGATTCGGGATTCCCGCTTGCTGTCTATCGGAAAGAGAGAGAGACAGAGACCAGATCAATGCAAGAGAGCAAGTGTGTGAGTGTTAAACAGAGCGAGAGTGTGACAACAAATGACATGAGGGATGGCCTTTCAACACCAAGTTCAGCAGCCAATCAAAAATGTTTTCTTGAATCTGAGCATGGTTCACAGAAGTTTTGCTTTCACATCCAAGTGAATGACACAATGTAAAAGCTGGCAGCGGCACAGAGTTTCCTCATTGTGAAATATTTGTGAATGGCTTCTTCTGTCAAGAGGTATGCACTATATCTCAGTGTTTTGTTTTGTTTTTTGGGTGGGGGTGGGGGGATAAATGATGATCATTTCTTATCTCTAAAGTGAAACTGTGACATGCTAGGAAGTATACTTCTATACCTACAGTGTATTCATTAGCACGTTAATCTTTGTAGAATAAAAAACAAAGTGGGCCTGTTTCTCAACCTAAAGTCACATCCTGAAGTTTTCTTAGTGCCATAAGACTCCCAGGAACCAATACCGAATATTTACAGTTTTAGACATGATGAAAAACAATAAAGTAAAAAGTTAAATAATTGAATGAACTCTTGCAGTTATTGAAAGCTCGCATTTGTTAACACGACCCAAGGAAAACTTGTGAACATCAACCACAACAGTGCAAAGGCTGAAGGTTTCTTTCTATATACAAGTCTATCCAATAGGATTCATTATTTCCCATGCTGCAATAAAGTGCAACACATGGTGATGAAAGCAAAAGGGTATGATCTCAGCACCTCTGAAAGTCCTGAAAAAAAAAACTGGTCTAATCACAGTCAGATGGTTGACAAAGAGCTGAGTATGTGTTTTTATGTGCGTTGGCTGTTCCCTCGTTTATCTCGACAGTTTGGCTTACGAAGCGGAGCGCATGAAATATCGAGTAATTGTCAAAAACACAGCCACGGATAGCTTTCGCTTATCAATCAACTTAAAATTAAAAATTTAGTCAATAGAAAAAATAATTAAAGTAGACTCTGGCACAGAGTTTAACAGTTGCACACGATTTGTAGATATTTAGCAGCTGGATTTTCCCAACCCAGTCTTCCACAACAGCTTTTCGGAATTTAGCCTCTTCTTCTGTGTCTTTGTAGAATCCCAAACAGACTCGTGTCATGTTGAGATCAGCGCTCTGTTTTGGCCATGACATCCATCACAGGACTCCTTCCTCTTGCTGTCACTAAAATGGTTCTGTAGATCTTAACATTACTAGATATATCAAAAAAATAGTATGCCTCTAGTCCACATTATTCTGTAAACTTATCTGGAACATTGATACATAGTAATAAAGAATTTTTTTTCACGTGGTACAAAATTGAGACCCATTTACTTTAAAAAATGAAGTTTGAAATTTATGTCAAATTATTGTATTACCATTTTAAAGGCACTTCTCGTATCAACCAGTCAAAGGAGACCTATTATTCTTCTCCTTACTTTCTGGCATATTCATTCATCTATCCATATATATAAGTATTAAATTCTTTGAAAACAAAAGCTGAAGTTTTAGGTTGTTCTCCTTTCTAAACATGGCCTTGTGCGATGTCAGTTCGAGTGAAAATCTTAAATATGACAGACAAGTTTGTCTGCAAACACAGAAGCACGCCAACCAGCTGGTCAAACCTTCTGCCTGCAAAGCAAATCCAATCAGAACAAATGCTGGCCATAGGAGTGCGTGGCCTTGAAGGTAGCTAAAGCAGCTTGTTTCGGGCATTAGATGAGGGGCTACAACTTAAGCACATAAGGATTATTTTGAACTGCAAGTTATACAAAGCTACTTTCATACTCGGAACATATGTAATGAAGACAGAATCAGTTAAACAGGTTTGGTATTATTAAATGAAATGTGAAATACATTTCCTTGAGTTCTAAAGTTACAGTCGATTAATTGCCAGATAAATTGTTTAGCAAAAAGCCAATGGACTGATATTAGTTTTGGTTAGAAATATAATGACAATTGGACAGATTTTAGATTGAAGAAGAAGTATCATGTATCATGTGTCACTATATACTGCTATGTTAGCTTAATGCCAGAATTGAAATTTGACATTTCAAAGTAAGCAACTTTCTTAACTGAAGACATTCCACCTATCAAAATTGTGGGTTTGAACACTAATGCTCCTTTTGTGTAACAACTCTTTGTTTCATACATATTAAACAAAAGGAGCTGCAATTTAGCTAAATGAGTTTGTCTCAGGAGGTAGAACAGCCTCTGAATCTCTGGCCTCAATCACTCTATGTGAATCCCCTCAACAGGGGGCTTGAGTGTTGCATAAAAGCCTTTTTTTTCCCTAATTTTCATTCATGAGGGATTATTTCACAACTCATCCACACGATGACTCACAGCCCAGGATGTGATTAGATTCACCCTTACATGGAGCACAGGAATGCAAATGCCAATCAGTGAGGTAGAAATGAACAGTGTGGGTAGTGGTTTAGGGGGAAAAAAAAAGAGAAAAAAGCTCTTTACACTTGATTACTACTATACGATTACTTTTTAGGCAAAATTTAATATTGCTTAGTAATTGGGAAAAGGACAGTCAGAGAAAATGGTACTGAAGAAGTTTGAACATAAAACGAGATCTACATTCAAACAGACCTGAAATGGCACTTATCCTCCTGAGCCTCTAAAATACTCTGCTAAATACTGCCCAGGGAGGTTTAACATTGGATCTTTAGCATTCCAACAGCACAAAGAGTAGGCCAAGGAGAGAAGGAATCCCCTCCTCTGTTGTGCAGGGCGGGGGGTGGTCGCAGAAAAAAGAAAAAGGATGTCACAAGAGTATAAAAGGATGACGCATCACCCAACTGTACACAGTAAAAATCCAGGTTTCAAGCAGATTATTTCTTTAGTCACAAATACCTCGCTGATGCCAAGAGAACTGTAAAGAAAAAGAAATGATTTGGAAACAAAAACACAAGGTTGAGGTGCCATAATGGGAAAGTTAAAAAGAGTCTTCTGGAAACCAACAGAATCATGAAATCACTTATTTCGAAGAACTCAGGACATACTTTAGACTATATAACTTCAAGTAAATGTTTAATAATGATGTGGAGCTGTGCTGGAAATTCAAACTGTGCTATACAGCCAAGTGCAAGATCCAGTAACAGAAACTCCTCCTGCAGTTTGCACTCTTTGGGACAAAGAACACCCCTCCTTCTCTCTAACATGGGGCTGGAGAAGAAAAGATGCATCATATGACTACAGCGAATACAATAGAATCACATTCCTTAACGGTTTTCACAGTTGAAAAATGAAAGAAGAAAAGAAGGTCGGAGTTGGTGGGAAGATTTAAAAAAAAAAATATGCATTTCACAATGTAACAGAAGCCACGTCTCACAAATAAAGAATGAATGTTTCTATTTACAACATGTGCAAGACATCTTTATTTGTGGGTCGTTTTTTTTGTTGTTGTGGGGGTTTTTTTGCGTTTTGGGCAGAGAAGTACTGATCTGGCTCAAGAAATAGGCATTCATCCATAAGATGACGTGGTTCCGGTTCCACCCTGAAAAAGGTTGTGTTGCAACCATGCTAATGCCCGAAGGTAATCAAAAGAAAAATCTTCTGTAGTGCTTCTGCTGCTAAAACATTACGATATTACACAATTTTATCTTTAAAAAATGTGAAGAAATGGAACTGACCCATACCAGACAAGCAGAACTTGGCCAAATTTGGAGCAGAAACTTGAAATTGATTTCCACTTGGCCTGTAAATAACAATACACTGCAGTTTATCCATAACCAGAATAGCAGGATGCCATCTCCCTTCATTACAGTAATTTAAGGCATGTATCAACAAATCAACTACTGTTAAACATTTGGGACCTAAAATGAATCACAGTCCAGATTCAGATGGGTGTTTATATAACAAGAGCGCAGGTTATGGTTACAATGACTTGAATGAGCGAAAGTGGGAAGGTTTCGGATTCGTCCGAAGAGGAAACCTGCGTACACCGAATCCGTCATGAACAATCAAAGCTAAAGAACGGAATTTCTTTGATTCTTTAAGATTGGAGTAAAACCCATCCACCAGATCAGCTTAAAAACAAGCAGACAAGTGCTTGAGAAACAGGAATATAAATTGGATTATGGATTAAAGTGTGAACCTTCCCGTCATTAAAATATATTGCTGTCAAATTGACCTAGATAGTGCCCAAAGAGCAAAACAGAAATTCAAGTCTGTAGTCTTTTGCAGGTTAATTTTAATTTTACAGTCAGTAAGCAAGTGGCTGGTTTCACTGAGAACAGTGCTGCGAACAGAACAGACTTTTCATGCAAAGGATCTGGAGAACATATGGCTTTGATTAGAGGGCAGGGCAGAGAGAGACGCCAGTGGAAACTGCAGAAAGAGAAAGAGGTGCTGTGTGAGTGCATGTGTGTGCATATATCTGGTTGTGTGTCCAACGGTTAGAGGGCTGCTTCCAAGAGTGTTGTCACGGTGGATGAGCCCACGCACACTAGTGTATATGTGGCGTGAGCGTGTGCTCGTAAACAATGGCACAATAAAAGATGACTCAGAAGTGGGATTGCTTTGTAAATGTGTGTGTGCCTGCACGCGTGTATCAGCAGCAACACAAAGAGCGCTGTGGTGGCATGACAAATGTACCACCGTGGCAATACAGCGCTTTGCATATGCTACAAAACTTTCACTATAGCCTTGTGTTCTCTGTACAACAACAACAACGTGCTTCCGACTTAAAATCAAAAGAACTTCATCTGTGAAGTCTCCTTTTTTTTTCTCCAAAGCACATAAAATTTTGGGAAAAGGCCAATAACTGTGTGAGAAAACATATGCTTTAGCTACAGCACCAGTCGGGATCTCTGTAAAGTATTTATTCTGTGCAGATAATTAGTCAATTCCCAGTTGTTGTCAAGACAAGCCCAAATCAAGGTAAGTTCAAACCTGACATCAATCTGAGTTAATGGAAAACTGGTTTAACACTCAGACTTGTTGCATAGGATCTGGACTGGTTGTATTGGTTTCACTAGACAAGACCGAACAAATGACATAAGCTTAGTGACACATCAAATAAA